GTATCGAAATAGTTAAGACATTTTGCTTGTAGCCTTTAGCAACAAATTTAGCTTTATATTTATCAAACGATCCATTTGCCTTCATTTTCCTTTTGAAAATTCATTTACACCCTAGTGGCTTATTGTCAGGTGGAAAGTCTACTAATTCTCATATATAATTTTATAGTATGAATTCAATTTCACTGCGAACAACTTCTTTCCAATACGAAGCTTCGGTAGATGATACAAACTCTTTATAATTTTAAGGTTCATTTTCTAGTAACACATTCTAGAAAATAAAACTTAAATGAAGTTGTCTTCTGAGACCTCTTACTATATCTAGGTACTTCTACATGTATAGATTCTTGATCTATGGTCTCATCATTATTGCGAGATCTTTAGTGAATTTTATTCACTTTACATGTACTAAGGAAAAATATTGTAAAAATTTTTAGCATCTCTAGATTCAATAATCGTATGTGCATGTACATTGGGAATTTCACACTTATATAAAATAAATATGTACGCACTAATATGGTAGCGTGAGCACAAGAGATTGAATAAGTCAATGATAGCGAGACCTATCCTTAACCATCGAAAGAAGGAAGTCGAAAAGGTGTAAGAATGTTGAATGTCCTGCCCAAACTTCAATTGAAAAATTGTCATTAGTGTTTTTATGAAATATTCGAAAAAGAAGAAATCTAGAAGATTTGAAAGTGGAGTTCGCTTAGCATTCTCTTAGTACATATTATCAAAGGGAACCCACAAGTTGAGTAGTGCTGAGTCGGGAGATCTTCCTTTGGATCGTTACAACACATGGGTCGGTGTGTATCACCTTTGGTGACTAAAGATGTAAGAGGTCTGAATTCTCCATTTCTAAATCCTCCAGGCCGCCATTGAGATAATAGCCACTACCCTTTTCATTGGTTTGCTTCTTTCTGATTAGGCATAATAATGAATACACAATCAATAGTTTCAATCATATCTCAACCTTTTTAGGTTGAGAAATTGCTATCTTAGCCAAATATCCCCATACCTTTAATTATTTATCGTTAAGTTTGTGACATTTCCATAACTTGTAAAGTATTTCGTGCGTTTTTGGACACTTCGTTGAGAATATAACTAGTAAAGAGCAAAGCTTCTCCCCACAAGTTATGCGGTAATCCTGAACTTATCAACATATGATTTTTAATGACCCAGGCCTCGTGCCTAAGCCATTATATCATATACATTGTCCGTTTTGGGAAGGCATATGCCCTCTTACCCCCTCATGGCTTTTTATCAGATAATCCATGATTCGAATTCAAAGCATTTACCTTATGAGAAACTTAAGGTGAATTATGGTACCAATTGAGCAACTTTTCTAATTTGTATAGAATTCAACTTAGGCCTCTCATAAAGTAGAGGTCTTGGATTCGAATGTTGGAAGACGCGATAGAAAGCCATAAGTGGGTATGAGGGCAGATTCCCTCCCAAAGTAGACATTACGTAAGAGAATGGCTTGAACACAAGGCAAGGGTCATTACGTCATTTATTATCTCCTTTAATATTTGATTCTTACATCCAATAATTCCAATTGATTGAGAAGAATAAGGTGTAGTTGTTTGATGAATAATTTCATATTTCAAACATAATTGTTCAAATAGAGAATTATATTCACTGACTCTATCACTTCGTATTGCATTAATCTTTTTGTTGAGTTGATTATCAACCTCTAACTTATAATATTTAAACACGTCATTTGCCTTGTCTTTGCTTTTGAGTAAATACACAGCAATATCTAGTGCAATCATTGATAAAACTAATAAAGTACATTTTATAGTCTCTAGTTTGAGCAAACTTTAAATCACATATATTGGTGTGAATTTAATCAAGGGGTTCGTTACTTCTTTAGAAAGAACGAAATGGTAAATGAGCCATTTTGGGTTCTGCATATATATCGCATTTACGATTAGGATCTAAATAGTGCTTTGATAATAAATTCATTTTGATTAATGTACGTAAAATATTAAAAATCACATGCTCTAATTGATTATGCAAAACATTAAACGACTCAAGAAAGTAAGGAGAATGTGTAATTTTATTTATAGTCGAAGGAACAACAGTCATTACATTCATTTTGAAAAGCACCTCATTTAGGTAGCCATTTCCTACAAACATAGTTTCTAGTAAGGACAAACTTGTCTGATACAAAGACTAAATTAAATATGTTCTTGCTTAACGGAGAATCGAATACTAAATTTTTACAAATCTCGTGCACATGAAGAAAATAATTCAATGTAAGTTTCATATCACTAGTAATTTTCAGCACGTCTTTTCATGTCCTTCAACTTTGGAAGATGAAGATTTTTTTCATGTACAGTTCACTGTGATCCATTGTATTTTAAGTAGAGAACATCTAGCAGTTTGTAGGTATATGGCGAGTATCTCCAATATCCACCCACCAATCTTTAGTATTCCCTACTAAGTTGCATCCAGATATGACCGCAGAAAGATTTATATCTACTACCATGTCAGAAAGGTTGTCACTTGTAATGTTCTATTTTATTGGCCCGAGCATTTTTTCCCTTGACATTCTTTGAGTTCCAGCAATCCTTAGACTGATGGACCTTATTACAATTATAACAATTTCCTTTGAACTTTTTTACAGCCTTTAAAGAACTAAAATATCCTTCCCGGTACTTTTTTTCTCTGTTCGTTAACCTTGGAACCTCTTTCCACAATGTTGGAATTTGTGATTGTCTTCTTCGATTCTCAATCGAACAATGATGTCTTCAAGCTCTATTTCCTTACGTTTATGCTTCATGTAATTTTTGAAGTCCTGAATCCTTCCATGAAGGCGACAATTTCTTAATCAGTGCAGCTACTCGAAATGATTCGCTAAGTTTTATTCCTTCGACATGAATTTCACCGAGTATTATTTGAAGTTCTTAAACTTCAGATATGAGAATAAACTGAGAATAAAATTCTTCTTCAAATTGTTGTTTTCTGTAGTATAATTTCCTCTTCCAAAAAATGTGAAGTGACTTTTGCAAATTATCGAGACTGCATTTGAACAAAGTAACATGATGAAATCAGAGCAAAATGATCAACATGATCAAAATCGAAACAAATCACGAATAGAATGTAAATTAGAGCTCACCGACTTCTCAATTTGTTTGTAAGATTAATTTGCTCCTTTATATGGTATTCAAAGCGTTTAACAAGCGTCTCTCAAGATAGAACAGATTTCATCTCTTACGGAAGCAACACGACAATTAGTAAGATTTCCAATGAATTCGATGAAGTGCTCGAAAAAATAATATCAAAACAAGAGAAGAAAATGAGATTCAAAGCAGGGTATTTGTAATGAAAATTGTGTAAATTTCTAATAGTAAGGCAATCAATTTATAGACTTATTCATTGCCATTTGAGCACTACAAACCTTTTCAGAATAGTGGTGACTATTCAGATAATCATATAAAAATGAATAGATAGCTCTGTTAGAAACGAAACACTACGTCTGTTAAATTGGTTAATAGACATCTATTACAAAAAAACAAATGCCGATTACAGATATTCACATCCCATGATAGAAAATTATGCAAAAATAAGCCATATGTTAAATTTTAAATTAATGATAGAAATAGTTTCACTAAGTACCAAAAAATTTGATTAATTATAATTTGACCCAAAATTTTATATAAATTTTGTTAAAAAAGATATATATAAGATACGGATTTATCTGCGCTTTTATCAAACTTGGACATGGGTTCTTGTGCCGTGCCGTGCCAAGTCAGTCAACGACGGTGCGCATGTGTATATGTGAGTTTAGGACCAAATCCAATCGAATCTAGGTCTCCTCCTTCCAAAGACTATGGGTATTCATTGGACCCCTAACTCAATTGCCAAACTTCCATTATATAAATCATACAAAAGTTTTCAAGGTTTCTTATGTTGTTAAGCTTAACTATTCAATCAAATTCTTTGCTTTTTCAAGTTTTAGTGGGTAGCTTAGACATTAAGTTCTTGTTTGGGCTCTATTAAAATGAGATTTTAAAGGAAAATGTATTTTGGAACAGTATTTTTTTGGAGAAAGTGTGATTAAAAAATAAAGAAAAGTCTTAAATTTACGTATAACATTATTTTAAATAAGAATGTAGGTTGAAAATAAATGTATTTTTGGAAAAATAAAGCCCAAATAGGGGCTAAATATTTCATTTAATTTTAAATGATTTTTTATAAATAAATATATCACAATAATCAAGTAAAACATGAATATGCTTTATCTCGTTTATTTCGGAGTACGGTCCAATTGAAATTTGAACTCCCATTTCAATTTATTTATACACCATTTACAAGTTACCAACAGGTTCAACCGCGTTGGAACCCCCACAATTGTAGTTCAAATTTACCCTATTTGGTAACCACAGAAACAAAATCCCTTTTCACTCATTTTCAACCACATATTTTCACAATAAAATATTTACAGGTGAATCCAAAATTTTTCTTACTTCTTAATCACACATTTTCCATAAAATCACTATTCTGAAACTCACTTGTCCTTAATGGTAGTCAAAAGAACTCTTATCAATGAATTAAAGAATCCATATTAGCACTCGACAGTAAAGAAAAGGTGCAGCTAACGAAGGTGCATCTTTCTACATGTTATACTAGTCATAATGTGCTTTCACCTGAAGTCTTGACACTTGGCGGGACTCAAACACAAAACACGACAAGGACAGTAGAAAATCTGGAAGCCCATGAATTTGCACAACGCTGTAAAAATGCACAAGCTGAATTTCACACAGAGAACATGAAATGCAGATTAACATCCAATGACATTAACATATAATAGTAAAACTTCAATTTGTTTCTTGATTCTTGAAGTCAAATGATTCACAATCATTTATGGAATAACTTATTCCGATTGATAAGTAGCACAAAAATCAAATATGTAAAGAATCAAAATCGTTACAATAATCGTGTAAGAGGGAGAGGGTCATTTGGTAGTCCAGAAATCAGGATGTACTTTCCGGAACTCAGTCCAGATTTGAGATGACAGCGTCCACGACTTCTTGGGTAGTGCTGTCTCCACCAAGATCTTTTGTCCGGTATTTTCCTTCTGATATTACGCGCTTCACCGCAGTCTCTAGTCGATCAGCAAATGAAGGAAATTGCAAGTGTCTCAGCATCATAGCTGATGAAAGAAGCAAAGCCACAGGATTTGCCTTCTTTTGCTCCAGTAAATTCTCATTTCCTACATTTCCCGCTGAAGCACCTTGCTCAAAAATGGCATGATCAGCCCCCACATTGCCTGAAAGTCATCAAAACTATGTAGATCACTCAAGAATATATGGACTAATTTCCCTCATTTGTATAGCATCACTAAAGACTATGAGACTACGTATACCCTTCTAAGTTTAAAGAAATAGTTCTGACTTCTGAGTTCTCAACGTTGCTTATAATATATACATACCTCCAGGCATGACACCAGTACCTCCAGCAATACCAGCAGCTGTATTTGAGACCAGATTCCCATAAAGATTAGGTGTTACCTGTAAAATATGCTCTAATTCAAGGGTAGAAATTAAGGTGGAGGACACTAAAAGTTCATCGTTAAAGACTTTCAAGAACCACAGCATTTCTGAAACTTAAATATGTACTCTGTGATTTAACAACATAGCTTAGTTTTTCCTCAAAACATAGTAGTTAAGGGCAAAATATGCACCCAGGCATCAAGATGCCCTGGAGTTAATACATAATTTCTTAATTTTGCTACTTAAGTGTTAATGGTAAGAAGTTGTAATTAGAACTAAAAATCCCTCATTCACAATATAGTCCCAGTGTGTCCATATCCATGAGGCATCATTTCTTCTTTCTCAAATTAGCTCTCTCAAACTCTGTATTAGTTCACATGCACGAACTTCAAAACTAAAAGATTATACAGAGTTAAAAGTTGAATAGTCCACCATCCTTTAAACTCGCCTGGACTTACATGTCTACACAGGAGTTCAAACACATCCAATGGTGTTGGCATCATGACCATGGATGCTCAGCGCAACCATGTACTCTTAGAAATTCAATATGGAAATGTAGATATGTAACCTACTTCCGACCAAGACTGGCATATGGGTCTGATTCGAATGTTCAATCCATCAGTGGCCTCTAATTTCTTTCTTCACATGCACCATCAGCGGTTATTTATACTCCAATTCTTCGTCCAAAAGAAAAATGAAAAAATGAATCAACAATTTATAGACTATAGGCTAAAAAATGGGTATGAGCTCTCTAAGGATGATTGTGCAGACAATTACGTCCAATTCTTCGTCCACATTTTGTCAACGGAGCTGAGAAAATAAGCTCGTCAATGTTCTTCAAGCAAATTCTAAAGATCGATCAAACAGCAATGAATTACTACTCACGTGATATCTCATGGCCTCATCTTCAACAGCGGATCAATAGATTGATTCACTTAACTACATCTTCAATTAGCATTTTCTCTGTTTCAGTCCTAACATGAAGAATTGGTAGAATGGGTACTAAGAAACAAAATTCATCATCATTTTAAGTCCTGTTTAATAGTGAAAATGATAGTTTTCGATATCTGAATGAATAAAAAACCGATACAAACGGAGAGAAGACGAGTTCACAACCAACTACTTAAAAAGCAACGTCAAGTGGAGAAGAACCCTCCAGTGAATAAATGAACTGAAAAAGTAGATTGCCATTGTCCCTTACCATAACATCAAATTGCTCTGGCTTTGAAACAAGTTGCATAGAACAGTTATCCACAATCATTTCATTGTACTGGATACTGGGGTATTTGCTAGCAACTTCACGGCAGGATTCTAAAAACAGACCATCTGCAAGTTTCATTATGTTTGCTTTATGCACTGCAGTCACTTTCTTCCGATTATTGAGATAGGCATACTCAAAGGCATATTTTGCAATACGTTCTGAACAGAACTTTGTAATCACCTAGCAATGTGGCAAAATGAGAAAAAAAAAATGGGCAAGCAAGTCGACATAAAAATCAAGAGAGAATACAAATAAAAACACTTACTCAATAGGGAATGTGAAAATTCCACAAGAAGATAAAGCAGCAGTAAAAATGTAAGTAGAATAATGTGGTCCCAACAACTTTAATCAACCAACCAACTTTAGATACTTCCCTTTCAATTATGTGATGCATCATATATAAATCAATAGAAATATTCCATAATTGCACTTTAAAATGGTTAATTGAGACAAGAAGACTGGTAAAATAAGAAAAAGTACCACATAATGTTGAAAGAAATACACCTGATAAGTATTTTAAAGACGACATTAAGTTCATCAAGAAGTTGCTTACAACATGGTATGTGAAGTAAAACAATTACCCCCAATAAACAGCACAGTTCAAGCAAGATTGACTATTCAATAGAATTTGAATTGAGATGTGGAGACTGGAGACCGGACTTACAAAAGTTGAATATATTTTTTATGAATTCAAGTTGTAGTGCTTCAAGTCCACTTTGCTGCTTGTAAGTTAGCAACCTAAACTCAAAACCCAGGAAGTAGCTTACAGATTGTCCTATATTCAACAACATGCATTAAGCCTTGAAATCCATTCTTATTTTTGCAGCTAAGAAATCATTAATCAAGGTCATTGCAGAGAATAATATGAGATGCACCACACAGCTTGCATCATTTTGAAAAGTGGATCTTAAACTTACAAGATCATCATTTGAATGCTAAAGAGACAAATTCATCCCTGCACACAAATACTTGTTCTAGTCTTTCACATCTCACAAAATTCTTTTGCATTCCATAGGCCAAAATCCAAATAAGATTCCAGTTAAACTCTCTGCAAAAATATCATATATTTTTTTTCTAATTATGGTCTTTCCCTTTTCGTCATGCACTTCCTAGCAAATAACTGAACATAATAGCAACATTTGATAAACAGATATTACTAAAAGGTATGACCACGGGTTTATGAGTGTTCCACGTGGGTCGCACATCCAACAATTCATAATCGCAATCCTGAATTTACTGAAAATCGGTGCAGTATCAGAATAAATTTTACATAAAACACAAAATTGACACTACCTTGAGGCTCTCAACAACACCGGGAACAACCTCGTGCTCAAGCCCCGAGTATTCGCCTTCAGTATTCTCCCGAATCACGACAATATCCACATCCTGGTGGCGCGTTGGGAGCCCTTGCAGATTAAAGCAGTGAACAAGCGATGCATAGAGATCAAGCTCTTTCCTCAAGAGCACGTTCAAAGAGCTTACACCTCCGCCGACGGGAGTCTTCAACCCTCCTTTAAGACAGACCTTGTTCTTCTTAATCGAGTCGATCACCTCGGGAGGCACACTCTTGGCATCGCCATGGACCTCGTACTTCTGGAAGTAGACAGGGGCATGTATGGCCTCCATGACCTGCTCGACAGCGCCGGTGACGAGTGGACCGACACCGTCGCCGGGAATTAAAGTAACGGGTCTCGGAGTTCCATCTCCAGGTCGGGGCATGTAGGTGACGGATCGAGTAGCGGTGGTGGGGGAGGAGATTATGCGTTTGAGGATTGGAAGGGTTCGTGAAGTCATTTTATTTTGTTTGATTTCAGAAATTGGGAATTTGGGAATCAAGTTGAAGGAAAGAGCGGGCAAGGAAAATTAATTATTGATTGATTAATTTTAATTATTTAACCGACAATAGTACTTTTCAAAAATAAAGTTTTAAATACTAATAATTTAGAATAACGTGTGATTAAAAAATTGATAAAAATTTTGAATTTACATACAAAATATTTTATTGTGTGAACATGTGATGGACTGATTTTGTTATTCACACGAATTAAGAAATCTTATTTAATACTATTGAAAAAATATTTTTTGTCAAAAACATTCATAGTTTACTCTTATTTAATTATCAACAATTAGTAGTAAATTATTGTTGGAAGTGGTAAAGAAATAAGGGTGCATTTGATTGACAATATTTTCCATGAAAAATATTTTTTTCCATCCAAATTCTTGATTGATATTTTTTCCATAAAAAATCATTGCTCTACTTTTGGACAAGTGATTATATTTTCCTCAAAATTAAGGAAAATATTTTCTTTAGTGGGGTATGATTTTATTTTCCAGTGAATTCACTATCTTTCTTTCTTTTATCTATCACATCTCTATCATCTTTACTCACCAATAAAAAAATTGATAAGTATAATATTTTCTATATTGAAAACTAAATCAATCAAACACATTTAATTAATAATTTTCATACAAATGAATTTCTAGGCAATTCAATTGCCTACAATTTATTTTTCTTTACATACAAATTATATGTTCGCAATCAAACACACTCTAAGGGTTTACTAGTAAATGAACCAAGCAAAACATTCTCAATAAAGAAACAAGACTATATAATTGAAACAATAAAATAAGAAAAGTCCATTTATATAAATGTGACAGAAGGAGTATATTGAAAAAGAAGTTTAAGAAATATGGTTGTCAAATAGGGGCTTAACTTTGAGCCCAGAAGTAGAGTACTAGGATAGTATCTATGAAGTATTTTCTATAATGGACTGCTAAAACAATCATACTATGTGTATATCTTTTTTTTTTTACCTCATTTCTGACGCGAGACACATAATTGGACAATTTTAAAAAAAGCTTTTCCACCCCCATACTTTTTGAACTTCAAAGTCTTCAATGGAGCGTACTCAAAGATGTAAACCAAATGATGTAAAATTGACATAATTCTTGCTAAAAATAAATTGAAGTGAAATGCTACTTGAACACCCAAGTTTACCTCCTAGGTAGAATGCACGAGTGAAAGATTTTATGGGCTGATGAAACTTCATGTTTTATCCACTAGCCTAGGAAATCTTACCACATCTACATTTTGTCACTCGGGTGTTAAAGTTGAGTTATACATATAACATTTCTCTAAATTAAAGCATCCAATCGAGATAAATGAGTAATTTATGTAATAGTTATTTTTTGATGAATGCATTATTTAAATGTAAGAAAAAAATTTAGATTTTAAGTGTAAAATTATTTTATTGAAAAAATTCTATAATTAAAAATAAGTTTGAGGAAAAAAGATTTTTTATAGAAAGAAACTCAAATACCGGGTCAACTTTGTTAGGCAAAAGAACCTCTCACATTTAGGGAGGGGGATTTTTCAAAATAGCCGGGTCAAATGACGCATTTGAGTTTTTCGTGTAAAAGTCAATTTT